TAGAAAGAAAATTGGGGTTGCAGTGTTACCAGCCCAAATTGCACGTAACTAACGTGTATCTTCCACCTACTATAACTTGAATAGGTGATTATTTCTGTATAGTTTGTGATGTTTGATGCGATCTGCATTGAAAACAACTCCAGAATTTTGTATTGATATTATGCCTAGAGAACTAGTCCATAGAGCACAATGAAAACTATCGTTACAAAACAAATTTTGTAAAATACTGTTGATATAAATTTAAGAACTGCTATAATATAACAATACCAAGCTTACATATCTCTCATATTAGTATGTCCTATGTTGTCACATAATATTTTTGGCAATCTTCAGTTAAACGAATAATTTATTTTAAATGTGCAACTTAACGATCCTCCACAGTTTATGAAGTATTATTTACATATATAATTATTACATAATAAATTACATAAAATAAATTAAGTAAAATCAAGAATATAATGATTTTAAGATGATTTTGTACTGATAAACTAATAATAACTGTAATATAATAACAAGGATAAGAATATTATACTAGAGCGGCTAGCTAGATACCTCGCATAGTGTGATTATCGTTTCCGCCAATATCCTGGATTGACAGAAACCGGACTAATCAAAGACCTAAATACGTATATAAAGGTCAATAAAAGTATTATTTATATATAAAAATATGATTGTATGATCTAATATTGTTAGAATATATTTTGCTCAAAGAAAGTTTAATCTCTTTTCAAATGTTCTAACCGTACTATAGTAAATCCGAACTGTTTGAAGCCTGACAATGGTATTAAGTAATCAAGGAAAGTTTTACGACAATTTTATATAAAAAAAAACAATAATTTTATATTGAATGGACTGCAGCCAATGGGGAGCTAAATATACTGGATTTCATCTTGTAACGATACGGTTTTCAGTTTTCCTTCGGATGAGGATCCGAAAGAGGCATTGGCCATGACTCATCAGTTATTCACGCGTCCTGACCTATCGCAGCATATGTTCCTACCTTGTGTCATTCCACTTTGATATTTATATATTTTTGTCCACTTTTATTTATATTGTTTTTTTGGCTGTTGTTTACTTGTCTAAATTGTTTTCCATTTTAGGAGCCTTTGTGATTTACAGTTCGCAGCACAGTTGCATAACGCAATTTGTTTCATCTAGAAACGCAAACAAAAGACTGGCAATATCCCTCGACCTTTAGAGAAACGGAAATTACGAAAAACTTGTTTTTTTGTTTCGAGCATTTAGTATGGACACTATGCGTGTACGTTTATACTTATAACAAGCACGGAGGATTACCTGCAGAATAAAGATTTCATTTAGAATTTGCATAATGAGTTTAGCTTAAAACGTCGAATTTAATCTTACACTTAAAACTATGTGGATTCAATTTAATGTTTTCTATAATTTTTTTTTAGTTATTATTTTTTCTTTAACAAAACAACGAAATTGTCTTATTTATGTATTCAATATTATAAAAAAAAATAATAATAGTAAAACAAGTTCATTAAAAAAATTAAATACAAAAAAATAGTTTCTAACATAACATCGACTCTATTGATGAAATTAATGTTTTATAATCGGATTCTTTGAAATTTATTTAAAATTTTCTATAAAACATATTTTTTATGATTTTTAAAAATAAATATAAAAATCTGCATGTATTAATTTTGTGTGTATTATATAATAAATTATATTTTTTTGGTGAAGATATTAGAACCCAATTTTAGGTTAAATCATAAACGGTAAATATTCATGGAGTTTAAATATTCATGGAAAACTAATAGTGTGCACCTCATATAATAAATACTAATAACTAATCGGCGGTAAACTAGTTTGAAGCTGATTTAATGTTCGATAAATGGTGCATTCGCCAGTATTTGCATAGAGAAATAGTACATACTTGAATGTACTATACAATTAATAGTTACTACTGTAATGTCTGATTGGACTAAATTAAATGCAATGTATATAAGCAAAATTTACATATATTTGATATAACAATTTCTGGGTATACAAATTCCCTAAAATCCGGATAAAGTGTTATTGCAAATATTACAGTGTTATATATAAATACATGCTTAATTCAAGCGAGATCTTCCGGTGTAAATATAGTTGAAATAATGTTGAAAATATTATTTTAATGCTAATAATTGTGGCTTTGTTCATAGCGTTTAGCCGTTTTTTTGATTTAGTTATTTCTCAAACCATTTTATACTACTTTCAAATGAAAAAAAAATCATAAAAACACTGCTTAACCATGGACGGAAGTTACCACTAGCGATATAAAGAAATTCACATTAGAGAGATTACTGGTCAGCGGACCAATTGGTAGAAGTACCAAAATTCTCTAAAACTATGAACTAAATGAGTTTTGAGCAAATTCTTACATTTTTTAATTCAGTGATAATACACACAGCAGTTATCAGTTGATGAATCAATGATACCAAGGAAAGGACATATCAGATTTATATAAGTTTATTCACACTTCCACATTCAATTACAATATAGCCGGTAAAATGTGATAACTTCTGCGTAAAATTCTTTGAGCAGTCAGAAATTTCCTAAATTTCTAGACCCATCAAATTTTTAGACAACTGAATAAACATCCGATGGTATGGACTATTAAGATTCATCCCTTCACATTACAATAATGCTCTACTAGTCATGTTCAAAAGGTGTTACATTGCGTGTAAGTAAGTTCAAAGACGAAATTCGAAATATGAGAAATGTTTATTAAAAGCGGGTTAAGCTTCATATCATCAGTGGAGTTAATTCCCAAAATACGCTAAGGTGTTCGTTATCCGAATATAGATTTGTTGCATAAAACTTGAATATATTCGATTTGTTCGTAGTCTGAACTGTTCGTTTACCCAATATACGATTGATATCCGAACATAGAAATCGAATGTGTTCTTTGTCCGATTTGTTCGAAGTCCGAGCAGTTCGTTAACCGAACATCAACTATAAATATATTCCTGTTTTTAGATAAATAATCAATTTTCTAAAGCTAATTTTAACTCTCAGTTAAACTTAGTATGAATACATGTAGATTATACTTGTAGATTATGTACTTTAAATATTATTTTATCCAGTTATCAAATGTATCTGCTTGATATGTTAGTAGTTCTAGTAGTTAACTTTAGGTGAACCGAATTCAAATATAAGTTGTCAAATACATGAAAATATTCTAATTAAATAGAACGTGTATTAAAAAGCCATTAAACTTTTTTACCATTAAATATCTATCAAACTCCCGCTGATAACGTGATGCGCGTATGCAGAATGGGGGATGTTATTTTGTTCATGTGCATTCGCGCGAATTCCATTCCGCTACCGGGTGGATGTGTTTCGTGGTTAAGGGTGGATGATTTATTTCGGTTCTCATCAAATGTAATGCTATTAATTGGGTGGCTTTCCTGACAGCATCCCTCCCGTCAACCCCTCATTTAAATTATCAATTATCACCCTCGCTACTACTCAATTTCATTTGATATGTATTAGATCAGGTCACTTCTGAAACGGTGGCTTCTCTGCCCCTCTTTGAAACGTGATTTATTCCAATTGCGGGCAGTTCTTAGGAGAGGTTTCAGACTGAACAATAATTTATCTTAGAGGTCTAATGCCGGCAAGGTTTTTTTTCTTATTCCCTTTGAAGTTTACCACTTATGTGTCTGTATGTGGTTGCGTCAGAGCTCGTGTGTCCTTCGTTCTGCGCGTTATTTGTTGTTTCATTTTGCTGGTTGGAACAGCCGTTGATGATAAGAAAATCTCTCTGGGCGGCTTGAATTATGGACACGACCCGAAAATAGATGGCCGCTTTTCATATTCAGCGTAAGCCATCATAAGATGGAGGAGATATAAGGAACGGAGCACAACAATGTGCATTTATATTTAGCCAATCGCCAAATGGTCACTTTATGAAATATTATTATGTATTATATAATATTTTATATAAAATATTATTTCATATATTATAGAAAGTCATATTGCATCATTTTTTATCAAAAAAAAATTGTATACAAAAGTTGTCTAAATAAAGTAATTTTGAAGAGACAGCGAAAAGTTACCGTATTTGGACCACCTAAACATTTTATGTTATCTAAAATAGGGAATATTTAAATGAGAAAGTGAAGGTAACAAATATTGCATTTTATATTTACTAAATTCCTTAAAGAAGGATTTGAAAGTGAAAGTTTTCTATTATTGTGTGTACATAAATTGCATGAATAATATTTAAATAAATAAGTATTATTGGGTTTGTCACCATGATACTTCTTTGCACATCTTTCTATATATAACAGCTATTTTCTTCAAATGAGACAAAAAATAAAATGAAAATGAACAACATTAAGATTGAGAAAATAAATTTGTAATATATTTATATGAAACATTTTTAGATAAAAAATATATTTTTATTATTTCTAGATTAAATGTATTACTATATATTTAATGTATGTATATTGCTTATCTTCGAAAATTTCTTAAAAAAAAGACGAATTGTTGTCGAAATTATTTAAAATATTGAAAAAATTACACAGACAAAGTCAAAATTATTTAAGAGACAAGAGAACAACAAAACCAATGCTAAGTACAGAAAAAATTAAAAATAGTAAATATTCAGTTAATTTTCTTCTCAGAATATACTTATAAGAATATATGATGATTAATAATAACTGTCAAATTTAACTCTAAAGAAAATCAAGTTAAAACATCTATTAGAAATTATATATTACATGGTGATTGATGTACTGATTTTCAAAGAAGTTTCATAATATTTGAAAGATATGTAAATATTATCATAAAGAAAAACTAGTTACTTAACACCTGAGATGATATTGAAAAAATATAATTATTAACATTATTGGACATTAAGAAAATAACATAATTTTATAGAATTCATCCTATAAACTGTCATATATATGTATAATATAAAGTTATACATTTTTTTAAATTAATAATCATTTAATTATTATTTTAAATTATTAATCATAAACACTTACCCTAGTGATTATAAGAAGTTGAGACAGTGGATGATCTATTATTTTGCACCCATCCTGAATATAGTACAACAAATTCAACACCTGAAAATAATATAAAGAATTTTATTATATTATTTTTAAACGAAAAAAAATCATCAATTATTTTATTCTAAATGTAATTTCATTATATAATTTAATATAAAAACGTACATTTCTATATTTATTTATTAATTATTATTTTTTTTTATAATAACCGATGTATTATAATAAATATACAGTGGACAACTTCGGTTTCCAAAAAATTTTCATTACTAAAGGTTTCTCTAAAAACAAAACATTTGCCTTTAAAGCAGCGATTTCCAACCGGGGAGGCGCGGACTATTGCCAGGGGAGGCGCCAATTTTTTTAATAAATTAATTTTTATACCATAATATCTTGAAATAAATAAAACGTACCTATATGATTTAATCTATTAAAACAATAAAAGGTAAGGGAGGCGCGAAAAAAAATGTTTTCGGGGAGGCGTAGTAGCATTTTCATTTTGGATGTATCCACGTGAACAGAGATATTCGATAACCATGGTTCCACTTAAAAACCTGTTCGAAACAAAAATAGAAATCGCGTTACGACAAAACTGCCTTATAAGAGGGTTTATTATATCTCCTACTATACTGTACATCAATATAAAATCCTATTTTTCAAATGCACTTCACTATAAAATATATACAAGATATTATACAAATGACAATAAAGTCTAAGTCAATATCTTTTCGTAAAAATCTGCACCTTGTACCTCGTCTTACTGTGAATGCATTATAAGAAGTTCAATTATGTATATAAACTGGGTTACTTTACTATATAGAAAAATATATCAAATTGGCGTTAATCCAGGAAGTGATAAACAAGATCTTACAATATTTGAAAAGTTTTAGCATATTTCATTAAAATAGTCAATAAATGTATATTCTATATACAGTATTATTATGCAAAAAACTTCTATTGCAAAAAACTTCTATTGGTATAGTATATATAATTAATTATATTAAATCTATAAACTGTTCATAATAAAAGGATAATTGTAAACACATAAAGCAGAGTTCTATAACTCTATAAGTTAGATATAGCTACGATTAACGAGCTTTCTGTACTCAGTACTTAACTGATGCAAACACTTACACCAAATGAAATTAATCTTTGATAGTTTTAGTGGTCATAAATCAAGAATGGATGGTTCTTGTTTGATTAGATATTCGCTATTAAGGTTTCGCTTTACACATACACGTAGACACACAGATGTACACACACACATTTTGACACCAATATACATGCAATGCAACGTATTCGAACACCCACGCAAAAGCCCTCAGGTGCCAAAGGCGAAGCGCCGGTAAATTCTATTCGGAAATAATTACGGCTAAGTTCGCGGTTGAGAATTTATTGAAATAGTTTTGGCGTCGGGGCATTAAATAGATCGGCAATTACGACGATCGGCGGCCTCGGACGTGCCAATTTTAATTCGCCAACTCTTCAAATAGTTTTGCCTTTGCACTCTTGCTGAAAATCCTACGAAAATTGAGATGGAAATCGTCCATCTCGACCAAACCCCAGCGATGCGAGCAAACTGAGCGAGCGAGCGAGCTGAATGTGCGATCGATCCGAACTTTATAGCGAACTTCATCACATCCACAATTGGATACTAATTAATTAGCCCTTAGCAATCGGTCTCCTTTCGCTCACAACCCCAATTTTCAACGTACAATATATTGATTCAAATTGTAGTAGAAGTTACCGTAAAAATGTATAATGTCAATGTTGTCCGGAAAGTCGAGCCGATTTTTCACGAAAATTAAAAATCATTAGTTTTATATAAAGATATATACATTTTTAATTACGTATGCACCATTTTTATCTATAAACCTTTCTTAATCTTTTAAAAAACTTAAACATTACATCCTTCTAGAATTTATTAGGTTTTCCGTCAAAAAAAAACTTCTTCAGGTGGTTGTTTATGTCGACTAAAAATTAATCGTTCTTGCAGTTAACGGAATTTTGCAAAGACCCAAATTTGTAGAAATCGGAAAGTGCATTGTCTAGTGAATACTACGAGTGGACAAATGCAACTCTGTCCGGCTCCAACATTTTTTGTTGAGTAGTAAAACAATTATAAGGGCTGAGATAGTCGTGATTTTTGTCTGTTAAATTGTGCAAACCACATATATCTTAACGGTGTATGTAAGCTAGTTTCAAAAACATTCGTCAAATCTGCTCGTAGATTATTCTCGATCAATGTGTTGATTTCATCATTATTAAATAAGGCTGAAATCATCAGATTTAAATTTAGAGAATTATGTTCCTACATATCACTTAGCTAAAGCAAATTCTTTATAGGTTTTTGCTTGAGTGGCATTTTTGGTTTTACAGTAATAGAAAAGTATCAAAGTCTAAAATGCACTTTTTTCTTCCATCTTCACGAATGTTCTAAATGTGTCAGTTTCAGTTGATCCAAACCAAAAGTTTTACCAAAAACAGTTATTTCAAAAAATAACATCATATAAAATATAATAATAACTTGAATAATATGTGGAATAATTTTATAAGAGACAATACTTTTTTTTAATTATGAACATTAATATATAAATTTTAATAATTGTAGATATATTAAAGTACAAATAAATTTAAAGATTTTGGTTATTTATTTTAATTTATTAGTGCTTTAACAAAATAACTACTTATTTCATGTTTTATGTCTTTTGCATAAAGTTTTTTTTAATATTATATGACTATGGTATAATATATCTATACAATAAATTAGCTATGATTAGTACCTTAAACATAACTAATTTAAGGTAATTTTAATAAAAAAACAAACTTAATAATTAAAAGTAACCTCACATAGTGCGGCTTAGATCAGTCCGGATTCAAAGCAATACGGTTTGCAAATTTCAAAAGCAAATGTTAACTGAGCAAAATATTTTATAAAAAGTTAGTTCACAAAATTATTTGTTTATACAAAAGTTATCGGCTTTTCGTCTTTATTGAGTTGAGTTTATTTTAAAATATATAAACTTCGTTCTTATTGCAATACAGGTTAAAATAATTTTTATTAAAGAACACATGTATGCGAAGATTTATTACAAAAACAAAGGTTAAGACTATGAAAAACGAATGAAAGATGTAAATGTGTTATGAACTGTATTAATGTGCAATTTCATAATTTTTGCAGTCAATTATATTGTACATGTCTTTATGCAATAAATTATTATTATATACTACAATCAAAATATGTAATAAATATGTAATAAAAGAAAAATACCTAAAAAAAAAAACGTTTGTTCTAATATTTTTAAATTCAGATCTATTTATAAGTCCTAATATTATTAAAATTTAGTTTGTTTTGAAATTTCCACATCAGATTGCAGTGAATCCGGACTGATCAAAACCGCACTATATGAGGCATTATTTTATATATTTACATTATACAAAAATATCAAACATTGATAAATTAACAATAGTAAAGTTTTGCATGGACGAAATGTATATTCAAACTCAATTTTCAAACTAGCGTGTTGATTTACTATTTGAAATATAAACTTTTTTTACCTACAAATATTTAACGAGGATAGAGATTTGAAGTATAGATGGGGGAGTATTTTATAAAATTACAATTTAAAGCGAACGAGACCGCAAAACATGTCCACAACAATGATGAGTGCACGTATAAAATACAGACAGTTTCGAAAGCCTCCCGTGAATTCGCAAATACAAATATATGATGTAATTAAAATTTCTATAATTAATTTGAAAACCCCCGGTGGAATTCATTTATCAGCTCTCGGTTTCTAGTGTACACCAGTAATTGAATGAAACTGGACGTAAAATACAAATACACGCATGTTCTACACATAGATGGCAACTATATGAATAAATAATATTTCCAAATATAGAAGCCATTAACAAATCATAAATTATTTCAAAGGGATTATTTTGAGGTTTAATGTTTAAATGACCAATGACCAGATAAATATTATTAAATTTCATAGGTTCAACCATGAAATTGGTATTGTTTTTATTAATTAATTTGAAAATTTATTAATCCTTTCGACTAATTTATGCACAGTTATATATTAAAAAAATCTTGTACTTTATGTGTATAATAATTAATAAAAATAATTATTATTGAGTAATCCAGGGGTCGGCAAACTTTTTGAAGAAAAGTGAAATTTTTAAGACATTATGCACTTATTCGGAATTTCTTTAAAACAAGATGTAATTAAGGTTTTAATATATATTTATATTATTTTTAGAACAAAAAAATTAAGCTTTACAAGAAAGTTTACTAAATCATTAATTTGAATTGTTATATAAAACAAACATTTTTTTGTTTATTTACATCTTCCTTCAAAGTTCTTTGATCTATCCACCTAAGTATTTCTGCCCGAAAGCAACAATTATGTAAAAATAATATTTATGATGAGTACACACCAAACCCAACATGCGAAATTTTATAATTATTTTTGACTGATAAGATTTAAGAAGTAATACATTACGCAATTAGTCAATGATCATATGGTTCGTATCTATAGAAACCAATGAAAAAGATGAAAATTATACCGAAATGTCAAGTACATTTAAAGTATACATTTAATGAATAATAAAGACGCAAAAGCGCAAGTTTACATAATAAATCCACGCTTTAAAAACGAGGTAACTGTTGTCAATTTTTTTTTAACTAAAATTTTATATTTTATTATTTCTACCTTTTGGATTTTGTCTTCTTTCTTATAGGTTTCACCCATCCTCATCAATTGACTTTGCACTTCCATAATAAGTTTTTTGCGCACAAAAATATAGGTTGTAATGTTATTTTACCGACACACCGCACTAACTATCAACTTGACCCGAAATAACAACTTTTGTTTCAATGAAAAATAACCAGTCTTCTATAGGATTTGATTGGTTTTAGTGTGTAATCATATTTTTTTTTTAGTTTTGGCGGTAAATTTAAAATTATAAAAAAAAATATTTTAATTAATATCACCTATTAATATTTCACCGTTTGTAGATTATTGATTAAGATACTTTATGCAACTACTTA